AAATACACACACACAAAGAAAAACAAGTAGATAGAATAGAAAAAATAGAAAGCGAGTGTTTTTTTGTTTTGTTTTGTTTTTTTTTTATAAAAGAAAGAAGATAAATAGATAAAGTAGAATTAAAAGAATAGAGAGTGCTAGAGTTAGAGGGTCAAATAAAGATGGAACAGATGTGTTTTTAGCCGATTCTTGAAGATGGTTAAGGACTCAGCTGCTCGGATTGAGTTGGGCAGGTCATTCTGTTCCGGAACAGTGTTTAATGTAAAAGTCAGTGAAAGTGATTTTGTGCCTCTTTGAGATGGCACAATAATGCGTCGTTCACCTGCAGAACGCAAGCTTCTAGAGGGCACATACAGTGGGTGATGTGTTTTTAGCCGATTCTTGAAGATGGTTAAGGACTCAGCTGCTCGGATTGAGTTGGGCAGGTCATTCCACCAGGAGGGAACAGTTAATGTAAAAGTCAGTGAAAGTGATTTTGTGCCTCTTTGAGATGGCACAATAATGCATCATTCACTTGCAGAATGCAAGCTTCTAGAGGGCACACAAGTCTGAAGTAATGAATTTAGGTTAAATAGAATTTAATTTACTTACCTATTTCTTGTTCAAAGATCTCCACTTCATCTATTAAAGCTGCACACGGAATTACATTATATTAGTTAAATTCATCATTTATTTGTTAAAGTTAATAGATATTAGCATTAAGATGGTTCAGGAGGCTGATAGAGTGTCCTTAAATACAAATAAAGAGACCTTTATGAAAAGTGACTCAAGTCAAATTTTAAGTAAGTCATTAAGAACAATGCTGATGTAAAAGCAGGGGACGGTGATTTATAAAAAAAATTTTATCGGTAAAAATGTATATCCCAATATGCTTCCCTAAGCCTGCCTAAATCGGTTCATCTTTTGTTGTTTTATTGACAGTGATACAGACAGCAGCAGGTTTATTAGACTGCTGTCCCTTTAAGATAGTAATGCCTAGTCCGATTCATTTCCGTGAACCGGCTCTTTCGGACAGTTTGATTCAATGAACTGGTTCAAATAACATTTAATCGGTTCCTTATGTTACATACGACTAAAACTGTATCAATGAAACATTAAAGTTATTTGTGTGAATGCATATAGCTGATTACTGCCTTTCATTCACTTAAGTTAATGATATATGTGGTCACAGTTTCATTTGCTGATCCTTTATTGATGGATACGACTGAGTTTTTTGACAATTACTAACCATTGGCAAATAACTTTTAAGTATAGTACTTAAAACACATTTCTTCCTGTATCAGTTGCAATACTTACGTGTTTCTTGTTCGGTGATCTCCCCTTTCTGTGTCAAAGCTGCACACAGAAACACAGAATTAGTGAGTGATCAGATGAACATGTCAAAAACACTGAGAAGACGCTGTATGATTCTTAATGTGCTTCTAATAATCACTTCATCATCTGCATGACTTAACAACAGACATCCACAGCACTTATTGGTTAATGTTAATTTATATACATTTTTAACATCAGTTAAGTGATGTGTCACATCCAAGACATTTTTATATCAGGGCTACATTAACTCTATACTGTAGCATTTTTCTCTGATTGTATCAGCTGTAATACTTACACATTTGCTTTAATCGTTCAGAGATCTTGCCTTCATGTCACAGCAGCACATAGAAACAGAAACGAGGAGATTATGAGTGAATGAACAGATGAAGTTCTCTGACCTCATTTTTTTACAGAAACACAATGACTAAGCATTGTCATATATACATGGACAACTATATTGTACATTGTAGCACAATAAAGCTAATTTTTCTCTGTATATCAGTTTTAATACTTACACAATTCTTGTTCACAGTACTTCGCTTCATGTCACAGCAGCACATAGAAACAGAGAAATGAGGAGATTTGAAGTGAATGAACAGATGAACATGACAGAAACATTGAGAAGATACTGTGTGATTCTTCATGTCCTTCTAAAAATCACTTTGTTATGTTAATGACTTTATATGAATTATCAGTAACAATTACTGTAATGCTTTGTGTAAACATTAGTTTAGGCATCATTAATGCGATTTAAAGGGGTCATGGCATGAGTAATACAATTATCCTTGATCTTTTGACATAATACAGGTCTGTGTACCGTTAAAAGAATAGTTCACCCAAAAAATGAAATTAAAATTATATTGCTTTACACATGCTTATAGATCATTAAATCCAATTCTTTTAGATCATTAAAAGTTGTATATATCCCTCCCTTTCTGTCAGTGTATCTGTTTCACTCTTGCCATTCTAGAGTAACTCCTTCACTACATAAACACTAAAAACATGTGTAATTAATATACCATATAAATACAGTATATAAATGATCTAATGGATGTATAATGCAAGACTAGGCAAGGAAATATTGTTGGATGAGGCTTCCCAAGATATGAAAGAGAACATAGAAAGCAGCTGTTCTGAGGTAAAGGCCATTTATGAAGAGCTTTTATTGATCAAAATATAAATTAATCAAATATAATCAATGTGAATATAGCCATTTATGTATCAAGTTAGTCTACTATTATAAGCATGTATCTGCCTGTGTGTGTGTAGAGGCCTGCATGAATGGAATGTGCAGACATTCGGTTTATCGCAAAGCTGCACATCCTGTTTTGACAAAAAATATAATGGGCCTCTTCCTTTAACGTAACATCAATTGTGGCCTCCAGTCTGCTTGCAGGAAGCAGACTGGAGGCGTAGCCAAGAAAAGGTAAACAATGACATGATGTAGGAAATGTATGGAACACGCCTTGAAGGAAATCCTCTATAAAAGATTGTGCAGACACAGACTCAGGAGATTCTCTGCAGAGCCTCTCAACTGCACTCTCTCTGATAATAAAGTCTATTTTTCTGGCATCCAAACCCCAAGACTTCAAGAGTGATTCTTTATAGAAACTGCAGGAGCCACAACTCCTGAACTAAACTTGTGACGCAGGATTGATGCATGCGTATCGCTTTTGGGATTCATTTTTAGAAGAGCACAAAGGCAACATGAAGGGCTAGCAGCAGATGAAGAGAGGAAGAACCTTGGCCTGATGTTGGATTGAACATGGACTCAACAGGTTCCTTATGAAGACCACTGTCTCATCAATCAAAATACAGTTAAACCCATTCTAGCATCTACTCAGTCAAAAGAAACAAAGCTGTGGCTGAAGCAGTTGCATTTTGGAAAGTTTTAGCAGTGCTGGAAAAACAATAAAGGGAAGCAGCAGTGGCAAAAAGGAAATGGAACTAATTATAATCACTGGCAAGTCAACACTGAGCATTCACTTTGACGCACGCATCCAGTTTAAACAGCTTGTTCGTGTCTCTGTAGATTTCAAAAAAGATCCCAACGTCAGGAACAAGTGGATGGTTTATTTTTAATGACATCCCGGATCACATCGAAGGATTATGCTTGTTCTGAACATTTCGATTTGTAAACGAGGCAGTGTTATGGAGAGCTTGCAAGAAACTCCGTTGAAAGATGAAGCAGCAGCTGCATCACAAACCGTGAGTTAACACTTTCATAAATTTTGTTTGTAAGTGATGGTTTTGTAACACTTATGCAATAGTGAGGGACACGTTTTCCTATGCAATGACATTAACCAATCATAACAGTGACCAGTATATTAATGTCACGCAGCTCAATCCTCAATACCACACTAAATCAAACAAAAGTTTGAAAAACTATATTGTATATTTATACTCTATTGTAGCACAATAAAGCTCATTTTCTCCTGTTGCTTCAGCTGTAATACTTACACATTTGCTTTAGTCGTTCAGAGTCATCCGCTTCATGTCACAGCAGCACAGCCAAAGAGAAATGAGGAGATAAGTGGGGTTATCAAATGAACATGACAGAAACTACTGGACAATCAAACATTTCATTAATGATTGCACTAAATCAAACACAAGCAGAATTAATGGTAAAAAACAATGAAATATTATACATTTAAACTGTAGCACAATAAAGCTTTTTTTCTGTCTGTATGAGCTATAAAACTTACAAATTTCCTTTAGTTTTTCAGAGATCTTCACTTCATGTCACAGCAGCACATAGAAACAGAGAAATGTGGAAATTCTAAGTGAATGAACAGATGAACATGACAAACACTGAGATGTGCTTCTAATAATCACTTCGTCATCTGTACGACTTTATATTTATGATCAGTAACAATTACAGCATGGTTTCTCATCTCTGGTCCTCGAGATCCACTCTCCTGCTCCAACCCTGATCAAACTTACATGCATGTAGCTTTCTAGTAATCCTGAAGACCTTTATTAGCTTGTTCAGGTGTGTTTGATTAGATTAGATCAATACTTGAAGGACAGAGTTCAGAACCCCTGAATTACAGTAATGGTGTATGTGTGAACATAAGTTAAAGCCATCATTAATGTAAATTAATGTGAACAGTACTTCCACAGCATTTACCATGTCATGTAAATTTATATATAGAACATTTATAATATACTGTATAATTACTGATGATGAAAAATCATATTTTATTTATCATATCTTATTTTTCTCTGGCTGTATCAGCTGTAATACTTACATGTTTGATGGTGTTCAGATATCTCAGCTTCATGTGTCACAGCAGCACATAGAAACAGATGAACATGAAGATACTGTGATTCTTTAGTGCTTCAATAATCACTTAATCATGTAAATAACTTTGTATTAACAATACAGTATGTTACATCTTGACTTATAGTAATGCTGTAGGTTAACTGGCTAGTTTTTTATTGAACTATGACTGAAAATAAATAATTAAATAACAATAACAATATTAATAATAAAGTGCACTTTAAATACCCAGATGATGCACTTAATTAACCAAAAAAAGAAAAGAAAAAAGAAATGTGGAATGTTGGACACAGTGTTGGGGGCATCGCATTACAGTAACACGAGTTGCATAATCAGATTACTTTTTTACGTAACTAGTGAACTAATGCATTCTGAGTTACTTTTCCAAAAAAGTAACATCAGTTTGTTTTGTTTTCTACGGTGGCCGAGAGAACTCAATGCACTGCAAATGAAAAAACACATGCAAATAGAAAGGGCTTTTACATTTGCCAAAATAAAACTTTGTATATTTAAAAAAAAACACACACACAAGGAAGCCCAGCCCAGATGAGAAAAGTAATGCAAAAGTAATGTAACACATTAATTTCCAGAAAAAGTAACTAAGTAATGTAATTAGTTACTTTTTTTGGGAGTTACACAATATAATACATTACATTTAAAAGTAATTTTCACTGGACACTTCATACACTCATTCACAGCTTTAATTACATAGCAGATGGGGAGCGCTACCCAAATTATGAAAGACAAAATAAATATAAAATTCACACAATACACAGTTGAGGATAGTGCATAAGTACATAGTGTATATTGCCTCATATGGCACACCAGTCTGTTACTATAGCAACATTTACCCACCCTAAACATGACATTGAACAAAGTTACATGTGAATGGTCAGAGTAAAAATATAAATTTTCTCTTTAAAATGTAGTGAAGTTAAAGTAAACAAAATATATTGTTATCAACTTTGTTGTCATAGTACATGTATGAACTATTGTTGCACAATATTACTCTTGCTGTATCAGTTTTAATACTTACGCAATACTTTTTCACAATCCTCGGCTTCATGTCACAGCAGCATATAGAAACAGAGTATTAAAACAGTATTAACCAACTAAAACAAACAGTATTTACCAACTAAAACATATGTCTTGCTCATTGTTAGATAATGTTAGTAAATGCATTGCCTAACATACAAATGCATTACCTAACATTAACTAAGAGGTCTTTATTGTTACGCGTCACTTATAATACTTATCACATAATTAACTAGTAAATATTCATTTATATATTTTAAACATCACTTACGTGTCACACCCATTATGTTTTTATATTAAATTCAACTTACTCATTTGCTTTAGTTGTGTGGAGATCTCGGCTTCATGTCACAGCAGCACATAGAAACAGAAATGTGGAGATCATAAGTGACTGAACAGATGAACGTCAGAAACACTGAGAAGATAATATGTGATTCTTCATGTGCTTCTAATAATCATTTCATCATCTGCATGACTTTTTATTAACAATCAGTAATTCCGCCTCTGAGCTACAATAATAGGTCTGTAAAAATATCTAAATACCAATTCAAATGCAGGTTTTGAAAATAAATAAATAAATTGCCTAAAAGTTTGAATCAAATAACGCTGCCTGAATAAAATGAAACTATAACAAGTCTCCTGTCCGGTCCAATTCTTTCCAATTTTGTCAATTTTATCACAAAATTCAAACTATAAATGTAATTCTGATGTTCTTTAATGTGGCATGACAGACCGCAGTGAGAAGCACAAGTGAACCGATCATCTCTTCCTCTTTACTACTAGTTATAGCACAAAATAAACATACATGAACATCAGAAGGTATGTTAAAAGAAACAAAAGAACTTACTGAAAACACTTATTTTATTATGTCTCAGTGTTTCAACCAAGGAAATAAGTCAATAAAACAGGTTGTACATGTACAGCCAATGTCACATGTAGTTGTACTCATTTTTTTTTATTCAGTGGTGGAAACGGGCTTCTATATGTAACACCGTTTCTTCCACCGATATGCGAAAATGAAAATTTAAATAAAATATATATTTATTGTTCTGTGGAGAGCCAACCCTTCTCCATTCTGTTGATATTGTTGCTTCTGGTTTGTGCACTGTAATTCACAGAAAGTCTACAAAATATGTTGTCACCCAAAAATGTCACGTATTTGCCTCATCTAAAATATACAACACATTTATAGACTGATATTTTTCTGATGTCTGGACTCGAGGGCTTTAGAAAAATATAAACCGATGGTTCAATATATTGGTAATGAATACATTCTATGAGAAAGTATATTTAAAATTTTGACTGAAAATGTCACACCCATAACACTGGAATTGCTCAAATATTGATGAAAAATCATATTACACATTTAAATTCTACTGTAGCACAATAAAGCTCATTTCTCCTGTTGTTTTAGCTGTAATACTTACACATTTGCTTTAGCTTTTCAGAGATCCCCGCTTCATGTCACAGCAGCACAAAGAAATAGAAAAACTAGGAGATTAGGAGATTACACATAAAATGTATTTGTAAGTCACACACACCAGATAAAACTCAAGATAACCGAGCAAAGGACTATGATTTTATGCCAACTGCTGCTGAAATTATATATTTCTGTGAGCTTCAATAGTAGAAGAACAACACAACAAACACTGAAAATGATTGATGCTCAACCCCTAATAACACAAAAAGACAATCAAACACAGATCTAAATGTAGTTGTTGTAAATTCAGCAGTTTAAACAAAGATTCAGATTTTAATTCAAAGGTATCAATGTCATACAGCTCAATACTGGACAATCACACAATTCATTAAAGGCACAATATGTCATTTTTGCCGCTAGAGGGCGCGTATTCAAAATAAACAAAGAGACAAAGGCATAGTTAGATGACGCTGTGACTGAGTGTGGAATCATGGGAGTTGTCGTCTTCATCCCCACAGCCGATGCAATCCGACGGGACTCGGGCAGAAATCATGTTAATGGATGAGCTAATGATTTATTAACGTAATAGAGTGAAGCAGGGTGAGGCTGAAAGCCGCCGAAGCGAAACGAGGCCGCTGAACGAGTGTGACACACGGCTCGAAAGCAGGATATTTTAATAAAAAAATCTTACATATTGTGCCTTTAACTACTACACTAAATCAAATAAAAGCGGAACATTTATAATATATAATTACTGACAATGAAAAAGCATATTATACATTTAGACAACTGTAGCACAATAAAGTTCACTTTCAAAGTACAAGTTCACTTTTCTGTCTCTATCAGCTGTAATACTTACATGTTTCCTTTTGTCGTTCAGAGATTTTCACTTCATGTCACAGCAGCACATAGAAAGAAAAATTAGGAGATTATATGTGAATGAACAGATGAACATGACAGAAACACTGAGACATAACACATCATATTACTAAACAAATCTGTCATTATTTACTCGCCATCTTCTTCCAAACTTGTATGGCTTGATATTAAAGAGTCTTTATGCAGCTCTTTTCCATGCAATGAGTTTATGACCATCAGAAAGATAAAAAATTATATTTGAAACACCAGAAATGTACAATAAATCTCCATATGACTTGTGAACTAGGCAAGTCTTACTATTATGAAAGCTTCATGTGCAGTTTAAGCAGTTTAATCTACTGTCATGCAACAAAGTTCATTTTTCTCTTTCTTGCTGTATCATCTGTAATACTTACACTTTTGATTATTTAGTTCAGAGTTCTTGCGACAATAAAATAAAACGCCAGCAGCTGCAGTCATTAGCAGTGGAAGAACAACAATCACTGCTACAACACCTGGAGACAGACCTGGTTCTGTAATGATAAAGAGAGACAGTCATTAGTGTGAATGTGTGTCTGATCTATAACACTATTATATGTTTTGAGTTCTGAAAGTTATTGTATAATGGTTTTGTACACTGAAGCTTTTCTATTTTAAAGGAAGGTTTGATTTCTCATGATCCGAGCCCTTTAAAGTCACATCATCTGAATTAATCTCAGACAGGTGTTAAACAATCATTACTTCAAAACACTTGAATGCTCACCACTGACAGTTACAGTGAATCTATTGTATGAAGTCTGTTTGTTGCTGCTGATCTTCGCTTTATAAAGTCCAGAGTCTGTGGTTCTGGTTTTTGTGATGATCAGAGATCCAGTCTGATGGTCCAGTTTCAATCCGTCTCTGAATCTCTCATCATAATATAATGGTGAGCTCTTGGCTTCTATATCATGTTTAGCTATGAGTTTTCCTTCATCTCCAAACCTCCACACTATCAGCTCATCTCCTTGTAGTTGAGGAACATGAAGAGTGACAGGTTCTCCCTCCTTCACTGACACGCTCTTCATTTCAGCTTCAGCCCCAGCAATAACAGATGGAGACTCTACAAGAATCAGATTCACAGACAGAAAATAAATATACTGAACACTGTTACTGGCACTAGAATATGAAGCTTTACAGTTGATTAGTTCATCTTATGGTTACTACATAAGGCATATGCAGATTAATAAAAGTCATAATAAAATAAAAAGTAATAATAGGGTCAGTTTGACATGTAGAACAGTTACAGCTGGCTTACTAATTTGATTGGACATGAGGCATCTTATTTCATATCACAACAGAGGAACTTTTTTTTGTTTGTATCACTGCCCTTGTCTGTGTTCAAAAGATAGAATTACAATTATTTTCTCTATACAACAAGCAATCTTGCTTTGAATGGTTTCAATAATGTTGCTGAAGGGCTGAAACTCAAAATATGTCTATGTACTGTATCAAATGTAAGCCACTCTGTATGAACTTCCTTCTAGCACTTTTCTTTGTGCTGTTGTACTGAATATCAGTCACATGATCACCTGCAGCTCAATCGCAGCTGTGATGATATTCAGAACAACAGCACTTTGAATCTGTTTAATTAAGAATAATGCATAAAAAGAAACTTGAAAACATCTAATTATTCAGACATTTAAAAAATTAATATCCTCACCATAGACAGTAACTCTAAACTTAATATATGAGGTTCCAGTGTTGTGGCTGATTTCTGCTTTATAAAGTCCAGAGTGACTGGTTCTGACATTTGTGATGTTGAGAGATCCAGTCTGGTTCAGCTGCAGTCTGCCTCTAAATGCCTCATAATCTTCATATAAGATATCATTTCCATCAATTTGAGCAATGGTGGAACCTTTATCTCCAAACCTCCACAGTAGCAGGACAATTCCCTGTATTTGAGTAAGATCAGGGTTTAGAGTGACAGAATCTCCCTCCATCACTGACTTCACTTCATCTGTTTCAGCATCAAACACTCCTGCAGAACAAACAGAAACAGTTTCTCAAAGATTAAACTCATACAACACTGCTGGTAATGATGTTGAAGATTTATTCATGACCAAGTCTTGTCTCATTAACACTGTTGGTCTTGGTTCATCTTCCATTCTGCCTGAGACACCAAAAGCAACATGGGTCGAGTTAATTTATTCATAACCTACACAACATTGTGGCAGTCGCCATACCCTGTTGTTCCCTTACGAAAATTAACCATGGTTTTATTATACTACAAGTGTTTTAACCATGTTTTTTTATTATTAATTACAATTTGTAAAACCAGTTTAACTATCAATTCCATGGTTAAACAGGTTAGTGTAGCAAAACCATGGTTAATTTGTGGTTACCTTATTTTAACTATAGTAACCATGTTTCTTTTTTTTGGTTCTATTTGTAGTAAAAGTCATGGTTAATTTAAGGCAGGGGTCACCAAACTTGATCCTGGAGGGCCAGAGTCCAGCAGAGTTTAGCTCCAACTTGCCTCAACACACCTGCCTGTATACCTAGTAAGAGCTTGATTAGCTGGTTCAGGTGTGTTTAATTAGGGTTGGAGCTAAACTCTGCAGGACACCGGCCCTCCAGGACCGAGTCTGGTGACCGCTGATAAGGTTTCATTGCTCCAAATGCGGTTTCCGGAATGAAACCGAAAGTCGCGATAAAAAAACGCTAACTTACCACACATTATTAGCAAAATCGGAACGATTTTGTAAGTGCTCTTCATAATGTTTAAGATTCCAGCTAAATCTGATTTCGATGGATGTTATTAATAATATTAATACTCGTTGTTTCAACCACAGTACGCGACAGCGCGAATTAGACCAAAACTAGCCCAATCGCGTTTCGAGGGGGGTTCCCTGGTAAAAATCACATTCCGGTGGCTAAATATCACGTTATTTTGGCCGCTTCAACCCGCGGAAACAGTGAAGCCCAATTCCGCGTAGCCGTCGTCTTCTTCTTCTTTTGTGTTTAATGGCGGTTGGCAAACCAGCTTAAGGCTCATTTCCGCCACCTACTGGGATGGAGTGTGAGGCCTCGATGAACGAATATATCATATACTACTAATATAAAAAAAAAAAAAAATTATTCTAATCAAATCTGTATCTCTCAGATATTTTAGAAGAAAATCATAAACCCTTAGATGTTTCTGTGCATTCTGAAATATATTCATAACTGAAATGTCATTGATTTCCATATCTCTTAGTTTTTCAACAAGTTGCTTTAAAAAGTAATCTGATTACATAACTCGCGTTACTTGTAATGCGTTACCCACAACACTGTTCATAACTGAAATGTCATTGATTTCCATATCTCTTCGTTTTTCAACAAGTTGCTTTCTTTGTCTATTATATGCCTCACAATGTAAAAGCACATGTTCAACTGTTTCTGTTATTCCACAGTAACTGCAGCAATCTGACTCACTTTTTCCTATTATATGCAATGAATAATTAAGGTTAGAGTGTCCTATACGGATCCTGGTTATAACAGTATCTTCTCTTCTGTTTCCATATACCTTTCTTTCAATCCCCACTTTCTGTTGAATACTAAATAAGTGTCTCCCTTTTGACTCTTTATTCCATACGTCTTGCCACATACTTCCAACTGCTGTTTTAATAATACCTTTTACTTCTGTTTTACTTAAAGGAATTTATATGTCAATCTCTTCTTTTCTCAATGCTGACTTGGCCAGCTTATCCCAAACTTCATTAATTTCAATTTCTTCCCCAATTCTATTACAGAATTCTCTCCAATAATTTCTTTTTGCTTTTCTTACCTCCCTCCTCACTTTTGCTTGTGCTCTCTTAAAGTTAATGTACTCACTAAACAATACAGATTTTCTGGCTTTCTTCATCGCTTTATTTCTTTCCCTAATTGCCTTACTACACTCGTTATTCCACCACGGGACTGCTTTTTTACTATTTATAGTTTTCTTTTTGCCAATTACTTCTTCAGCTGTATTTCTTAACACTTCACCTATTTTCTTACTTAACTCTTCTATACTTTCAATACCATCTTCTATTTCACACATCTTGTTATGACACAATTCTTTAAAAAGCTCCCAGTTGGCTGTATTAAATTTCCATCTTGGAATTCTCTCCACCAAGGTTTGTATGATGTCCACACCAATTTTACACCATATTGGATAGTGATCACTTCCCATTGTACTTTGTTTACTTACATTCCATTCACATTTTCTAGCTATATTTTCTGACACTAGAGTGATATCTAAAGCTGATTTACGCCCATGAGTTACATCTATTCTTGTAAAACATCCATTGTTAATACATACTAACCGTCCCCAATCTAACATTTCTTCCACAATCAGCCCATTATAATCTGTTTTAATACTCCCCCATAGTGTATTATGGGCATTGAAATCACCACACCATATTACTTTCTGATTTGTGTTACCTCTGTCAAACACTTCATCCTCCATTTCCGGATCACCTCCGGAATCCACGCCACCTCCCACCATGCACTCTCCAGTCACAGATCAGCCGCCGCCAAACCGCCGCCTCCCGTTTCTGATCCTCGGTCTTCTTCTTTTCCTCTTCTGTGAGGTTTTAACATCCAAAAGCGTTCCATTACCGCCACCTTCCGGTTTATGTCCGCTGTTATTCCAGTTTCCTCCATCATTCTCCTCATCAGACCTGTTCTAACTCCCAGCAAACACATTTTTGGTTCCCAGAAAGTTGAGAAGGGGAGAAAGTTAGTTTCTGGTTTTTAGAACGTTCCCCATACGTTATTATAACGTTTCCCTAACCTCTTTACTCCAGTATGATCACCCCGCTGTACGTCAGTAATCATCCAGCACACACGACCCAGTACGCTATAGTATTAGTGGCATGGAAATTATATATGGACGCCTAATCAGTATTATAAAAAACATATCTTGTTTTTATCTATTGTTTAATTAATAAAATGGCGCATTATGCAAGTGAGGTTATCTGACGGAGAGACGCAAAGCAGTTTAAAGCAGAGTCCTGCACGAGTCCTGTTTGGTAAACCATAAAGAAATTAGCTACATTTATTTTCAAATTAAATATCACAGCACACATTTGTCATTCAGTCTAGTGCGTTTTACATATAATGTAAGCGCAACTTGTGTAGATTTAAAAAGGCATGACTGCTTAATTTTGGTGTGTATTTGTATTTTACCATCTAATCAATCTCAGCATGCTTTA